TTTTTTTCAAAAATCGAAGAATGCTATGCGATGTAGAACATTTTCCTCATCAGTTTGGATGCAATTTCGATACGAAATACTCTAAAATGACGTTGCCATATATCAACTCGTGTGTTTTCTTTCGCGAGAAGACACGTCTTGATTGATTTCTCTACCATAAAGTTAATGTTGACCCACATTTTCTTACATGTAACATTTTGCTTACGTCACCTTTGACTCAACACAAAAAATATTTCAAAAAGCTCGGTTAAAATAAAATATTTACATTTATTCAAATGTGATTGAGCCATCGACAAGATGCTCGCGCCATCGGTAATGTTAAAGAGCTCTAGCAAATGTGATGAAGCCAATACCAGCATTCAATTAGTGTTTATATTTTAGAATATTGGCGATTAATATTTACAAATAGACAAAATTGTATGATTGTTGATAAAGACATACATTCATGAAATGTTTCGGTTTGGCGTTTAGCACGAAGAAAATTTAGCCAAAGCATTTAAACGTCTGAGTTCATAATCACTCTTTTATAAAACACATGTCTGTCACACATGTCTGCCCTTACTACAGATAACACTATGTAAAAGTTATTTTCAAAACAATGAACATTCAAGAATGAATTCAAGAATGAATCTACGACGCACCACACTGGCAAAAACCAATGAAAGAATGCGTATCCAAGTGTCAAGTTGCTTTAAACACATCAAATAATTTTGATCAAAGACACTATTTTTGCAAATTGGATATTCTATACACCTAGGTAAAACATTAAAAAGAACATTGCAATTTTTGCACATGAAAGTTATCCAATCAGTGATGAAGAAGTAATTGAAAACGACACCTTTTATACTTTTAAAGATATATACTGGCGAATTGGTTACTGAAGAAACTATGCTATCCTCAATCACGGATCACGGATTTATATTATCGATCCGTGTTATTAAGATATGTGCCTCAATGAAAAAGCAAAACAAATTAAAATGATCAGGGGCCGTTTTCATAAAAAATCTTAAGTTTTGAGGGAAGAAAATTCTTAAGTCCAGTAATTTTCCTAAGGTATAAATTTCCTTAAACAGTTTTCTTAAATATCACCTAAGGTGATTTCTAGGCAAGACAAATCTTAAGGGAAAAATAATTTGCTGAATCTTACTATGTGCTATATTGTATTTTATATTTCACGAGTTTGGGGTTATTCTCATTATTAGTATTATACAAAATTTTAAAAAGATCCGCTTTTTATGGCTAAAATATGCTCGTGCATGTCGACCTCTGTGTCAGTTGCCTAACCTCAGTGAGTCAAGCCTGTTTGAAGGATCTGATTTTTTATTTTGGCAGCAATACCTTTTTTCCATGATGCATATAATGGCCTACCGTGCATCAATATAATATCATCACAAAAATTGAAGTGCGTATAGATATTTAGTATCATTCAGTGAATTTACTGAATTCAGAATTCATTGGTCACCTTTTGGTAGATAATAAGAGGCATGTCAGGGTCCGTACTCTCAGCGCCTGAAAGGAGGGATTAACCCTCCTTAGGCCTAGAATATATACATACATGAAAAATTTATCTCACTCTATTTGGAGATTCTCGAGTCTGTCCATGAATATAAATTGGAATAATTCTACAAATATCGGCACTTAATGAATGACTTATATTGGCTCAGTCGCATTTGCTGGGGCTCTTTCACATTGCCGATGGCGCAAGCACCTTGTTGATGGCTCGATCACATTTGAACACATGCTAATTTTGTCTATTTAATCAAGTCCTTTGAATTATGTTTTGTGTTGAGCCAAAGGGTATGTTATGTTAGTATCAAGTTCCATGCACAATAAATTAGGCAGGCATTTACTCTACGGTATAGAAATCACTTAAGATGTGTCTCAACGTAATAGAAAACACACGAGTTAATACTTGGTAAAAGTTCTAGCAACGTCATTTTGGGGTATTTCGTATCGAAACTGCATGCAAACTGATGAGAAAACTGTTCTAGGTGGCGATTTTTGAAAAGAAGCACATTATACAGATATTAAACAGATATTTTTTATAAACTGTGTTGCTTTGTGTTTGGTCGATGGCTCTATAACGGAAGTGTCGATGACTCTCATTTAAACAGATCACCAAAATGTGAAAGAGCCACTGGTTAGTAGGCGTGTACAATAAATCAATGTTTTTCTCATCTTTTTGTTATATTATCGATAGTTTCTTGATAAATATACAACTGTTATATTTGCTCTATAAGAACGTGTCAAAATATGTGTAGATATTGCCTTACATAATCCTTGAAAATAGGCAATGTGCCGTGGCCGATTTTCTTTTTAATTCAACGTTGGCAACGGTTAATCCTTAGATATCGAAATAATTTTTATAAATGAAATAAGGCAAACTAAACATATTTGTATTGATGCATTTATTGTCCGTGTGGGCGCACTGAAAATGATATTAACTCACAAGTTGAGATGCACTTTTAAATGATATCTTTCAGATGATCATGATAGTATTTGAAACTATGAAATAAAGTTATAATAGTTGGCTTATTCTTAAAGACACGAAGTTAAACAGTACAATATTGCATGCTCATTATTATTATTTCATTCGTTGTACTTCCTAACTATTCAATTTAATAATACATGTCGATTTATGTGTCATGTGAAAGATTGTAAATGTAAGCCGAACGGGAATTAGCTTCAAATTATAGAATTCACACAACTATGATCCATGAATGATTTGACTTTCGTTACGACTTGCTTAAGTTTTCGCAATTCAATATTTCGACACAACCATTTGAATTTTTATCTATGTAAATTCATTAAACAGAAAAATGTAGGGAAAATATTGAAGAAATACTGTTTCAGAGAGTTATAGAAATTATATATTTTTGTTTTGGCATGATTCCTGTTGTTTTTGGTTAGTCACACACTCATCTTGTAACATCGGCCGGCTCCAGTTTTCCTAAAGAGGCGACTAAATGTTTTTGTATAACTGGAGTCTATGCATCTCTTAGCTTCAGCAGGTGAGGTGGTTTTGACCCCCGGTGTTGCTTTGAAGTTCTTAACCCCCGACGCTAGCCAAAATGATCTTTCCTGTTTCTTCGCCAAATGACCTTAACTGTGTTGGTGCCCCGTAAAACCAAACATAAAACAGATTTTCACATTCTTGTTATTATCAACTGCATTATTATATATATTATTTTGCATTTTTAGAAATGTTTGATTTTGAAAAATTGTAATAATATTGAGACTAATTTAAAGATATTATTAAGATATATAAAACGTGTGTGTTGGTTATTAGATAACTTATTTTTCATATATGTATCTGTATCACTAGATAAATGTTCTGTCACTTGATTACGTGAAATTTTTTGAGCATATGACATATCGTTACAAGTTTGTTTTTTTACATTTAAGTGGTAATTGCAAATACTTTAAGCTACAGATGATCAAAGGTGTATGTACGATTTTACCAAACGTTTAACTTATAATATCTGATCCCTTCTAAAAATTCTACGTTATTTAGTTTTGCTCATTTCTTCTTATTTTTAACGCACATGCATTTTTATATTTGGGGACCATATATTACTTTTCATAGAATGGCACTTAAGGGTCACATTGAATGTTCCATGATAACCGCCATATTAACACATCTTCAAATGTTTAAAATGTTGAATTCTGCTTTAGCCCGTTGCTAGTGGTGCTCAGTTAACACTGAGCCTGCAACATTTTCAATTTTGGTGACTGTCTTCAGGGATTTTTTTCCTCATTTTTTAATAAACATAATGTTCTGCTTCTAAGTTACAGAAATTAGAATGCCAACTGATGGTTTTAAATCATTTCTTTTTTTATAATAAGAACGGTTCAGATGTGTAGATATAGCATTTTCTTCAACAGAAAGAGAGAATTTTCGAAAGAATTTTCGCATAGAATGTCTTTTTGATATTTCACACATAACTATTGTACCAAAACAGATTTGTTGTTCGGATACTATTTTAAGTATGGATTTAATCAGAGAGATGTTATATTTCCAATTGTTGAAAATCGTTCAGCACGACCTTAGGTCAGTGTTGTTTTTAGAATTTAAGTTTCTTCTATTTGTTTCTTTTTTGTTGGATGGTTCAAGTATTCCTTCTTGATTATTGCGTAATCACCCTTGAGATATATAGTCTGTTTTGTTTTAATTTGTTTTTTGATTTGCCTTTCGTCAGCTTGTATCTGTCATATCTCTTGCCACATCTCTAAAATGCATTTCTCATTCACGTGCTTGTACGCTTAAAAATAATCCTGTCTTCTATAAAACATAAATATTTTTGTATAAACTTTTTCTAACAAACTGCATAGTCCAATGTTGTCCGAAATGTTGAAGCAAATATTAATATTCTTTTGGTCAATGTATTAGTTAAGGAAGAGTGAATAAAAATGTATAGTTCTATTAAAATTATGCTTTTATCTTACTATACCCATTGCTTAAATGTATATTAAGTGTTTTTATGATTATTTAAGCTAAGTGTTTTACAATTAAATTAAAATTATAATTGTTATGATTATACATAAAGGCAAGAGAGTTTTTTTTCTACATGCTTTGTGATTCATATACATCATTTACCGCATTCGTATATTTGTATCAGCTTATGTAACCAAGAGCTTGGTACTTTAGTTTAATACTTAAAATTGAACACTTGTTTTAATGAACTAAATTTGTAACATGGGCTTCATTGCAAAGATGAGAAGCAAAGCACATGGGTTAATGATTGGATTATCTACTGACTGATGTATATTATGGTTCATGAATTCTATAATTCATTGGATAACTTGAATGGTTTTTAAAAAATGTGTCATAAAGGACGAAACGCAACAATAATTTTCCTCGCAAGTTTCAAGTTTATAAACACATAATCAGAGATACATTTTTAAATGGCATATTCGTTGACGAGACAATATTCTGGATATTTAGGAACAATGTTAATTAACTATAGCAAGACACTGATATTCACTTCAATGACAAAAACTCTGCTTTATACTTCTTCTTTATTTGCGACCATTCTATGACACAGTGTAATGTGCGTGAAATGTAAAAATACAGAATACAATTTAATGAAATACGTGATCTTTCCAAATAAATGACAAGTGAAACTAAGCTTAACGTCTCTTATGTAAAGTAATCAAATAAGTTATATAGTAAATTGAATTTTCTTCAGTTACATTTAAATTACATTTTTTTTATTTTTCACTAATCAAGTTACCTGTTTATGTAAAATTAAAACATTATGTTTTAAATATAAAAGTTAACATTTTTTATGCATCAAATTTTATAATACAGTGTATATTTATACACTGGTTTTAACTTCATAAGATATCCAAACGTATTAATGAGTGAAAAGGACCTAAAACTCTATATAAAAATAAAACACAAGTGGTTCAATTTATTAGGATATTCTAAACCTGAAGTGATTTTTATTTTATATTTATATATTAGTAGACATGCACGAGAGCAAAACATGTACATATATAAAATACATTTATAGAACTTTGTAATACAAATGATAGTAAAATTATAATTCCTCGAGATGATTTTTTATTAAGACATGACAAAAAGCATTCGATATTCGTTTGTTTTAAAGTCTATAATCTGATTAATCATCATGACGATATCGATATTAGTTTTTTTTATATATTCAATAACATATTTATTTTTAAAAAGCAAAGAAAAAAATTTAAAAAAAAATTTCCTTTTCAATCCAACGAAATAATTGTTATACAACATTTTGTAAATAAGTATTAGTCTGCATTCCCTTAACAAATAATTTATGAGGAGCATGGAACAAAAAGCTGATATGTTTTAATATATCGTGTCTTTTGTAAATAATGTCAATATGACAAAGAGAAATTATGACGATTTTAATGAATAGAGTGGAAAAAATACAACATTAGTCACGATCCTTCCATTTCCATTTACGGTTGTTTTTTTATTCCATTTGATGCTATGCATGTTCAGTTGGTTCATAAAAACAAAAGAAATTCCATTATGCCATCAATGTGTAAACCTTCATGATAAGAAAATTTAAGTGCCAATGTCTTTTACACATGTTTTTTATTTATCTTCTAAGTCGTCCTGAAAAAGATAGAAATAAACAAAATGTTAAACAAGAAATAAAATTATGCTCTCTTGAAATAAAGAATTTTTTTTTTTTTGCATACATAAAATATAGACTTCATAGATTATGACAGATTACCAAAGTAAAAGAAATTACCCAGTTGAACCAAATTTGGGAACTATTGGCGAAACTTTTTTTATAATTGACAGTTACAACTCTGATAAAGAAGTTTACTCACAACGCTGAAAAGACATACAACATACTTTAGAAATTTTGAATGGCTACTGGTCGGCAATCGTGAAAACATGTTACCGACACTTGATTTGGGAATCATTTCACCAAAAGTGAACCGCGTTGATAAAACATAGTTATAGTAAAATTAAAAACATGCATATTTGTAGTAACTGACATACACTGAAGAGAGAAGAATAATTCATGCAAAGTGATAAAGTAATACCATTCATTATCTACTCTAAAGGAAACTCTAAAGGAAAGAAAGAAATTTTATCGAAAAAGTTCAGTGCACGAGTTTTTATCTTACATTATGCTTCACGACTATCATCTTCTGATTATACATTAGACAAAAGTTTATTCAGTTAAGTGCAATTTAATTAAACAGAAACGCCTGAGTAAGATTTACAAATTATCCATCGAAATGAAATGAATAGAAAGCTGTTAGGTTTTCAGTATCGTTATACATGCATTATAGCCAAGATTAAGATTGATATAAATCAACTGATCAGATTATCAACATAAAACAAATTTTACTCTTCCAAATGTAACAATTACTTCACAGGTCTTCGAACTTATTAAATGTATTACTATATTCATTCACTTCTTCATCCGACCATCACTTTATTTATTTATTAAATAATTAATTAATAAATTTATTCATATATTTATTTATTTATTTATTTATTTATTTATTCCTTCCTTCATTTATTTCATTCATTTGTTGATTAATTAATTCATCATTCATTTGTATCATTTGTGGACCTTTAAATAGCTATTGAATAAGTATTATCTGAAAATACATTATAAAATAAGTGTTTGGGGGTTAGACACACAAAGCCATTATATATACTGTCAGGACACTATGTCAAAGTAAATGGTTTTCGTTGAAGTGGAATATTTTTAAAGTTTTGATTTCCATGTCAAATTGCTACTTTAAATAATGGTAAATCTTTTCTTAAAACTTGTAGTAAAAAATATGTCAAAGTATATGGGAGTAAACTGTAGATATTCATATATCTCTCATATACATTTGTATATATGAAAGACAATCTATGACCATTTTTGTACTAGAGAATATAAGAAACAAAATGTTTGTCTTTTTTTAAAGATACATAGTTGGCAATATTGTATCATTTATTAATATTTTTGTTCACAGTCTTTATATAAAGATATCTTTAGAACGTATCAAAACAATTTTGCGTTACAATCACATTTGAGATAATAAAACATATATATTAGAAATTACATATAACTCTTCGAAGGGATCCTTGAGAATATTTATTGAAATACATAAGGCGTTCAAATTATACTTAAAACAACTCATTATCCTGTAAACGACTGTAAATTGTAAAGGAAATTCAATATTTTCAAACACTTTTTGTTTTGGTACTAAATTTAATTTTATTTGATAGCTTCAGGTTAATGATTAATTATGTTTCTTTAGTCATTACTTTATCGATTGTGTGCATTAAGATTTACTTATGCCTAAATTTCAACGGAAATTCGACAACAAAAAGAGGACTGAACAATGAAGTTGATATTTTACAAGATATAATTTATGAGAATGTATGAATGCATGATACTATATTGTGTATTTTAGAGTTGTATGCAAAACGATTTAACTATCGCCTTATACTACAGAGCAGACTATACTATAAACCAAAGATTATATCATGATAAGGCAAAAGATATATCGCAGCATACGATGATTGATTATGTATATCTATTCTAAGATTAAGTTTACACTGAGTAGAAAAAGAAAAGTAAGGAAATAGAATATCAGGTATTAGATGTATAAATGAGATATGAACTGTAATGAGATAGCGTTTGCATTCCATATCGGTTTTATAGATAGTGTCGACTCACCAACACTTTTCATTTCCACCATAAATGTGATGATCCTGTCGGTACAAAAACTACAGTTGAAACGATGAATTTGAAGCAATTCAAGAATAATAATTCTTAAATCAAATGAATAAAACGCACTTAAAGTGATAAAATATGTAGAATAAACAGTTACATATCTATTAACCATTGTTTAATTTTATTTGTTCTCGTTATACATAGTTCAGATAGTTTAAAATCATAAAAGGAAGTTGTATGTTAAATCAATAGCAAACTTTACAATGCTGTTCACCATACTTTTAACTCAAGCATAAAGGGAATTTGTAATTTTGTGAAAATAATAACAAAAGTAACCGATAGTTTCAACTTACTTTGAAGTTAAGCATGGAAATTATTTATTAGTTTGCAAAAAGTCACTTCGAGTTTTACCTTTCATTTAACTCAAGCACTCCAACATAATAAAGGAAATTGAATAGCTTGATCAATAAAACAACCAAGGCACTAAAGTGTGTCTCACACTTTACTCATGTACATGTTGAGCAGTAATTGTCTCATTTGTAAAATAAGGAAAAATGTTTGTCTACTAATAAACATTACTATTTTGATGCCGGCAAATAAAATTATTTTGATCACACCTTTTGTTAACTCGTAAGAAATACATTTCTTTAGAGAATTTATTTGTTCTGTTGTTTTTTTTTTTAATTTAAATTGATGTGAACACATTTATTGACGACATCATAAAAATGTTTTCAGCTTTAATTACTGGTTATTAAGGATTACAACATATTTTTATGCCGAAAATATTTCAATTTTTTAGATAAGAATAGGAATTCTATCTGATTTTAAGATAAGCAAAACGTTGTTTGCGGAAAGATTCACATGTGAATGCTCCTTTACAAGTCATTGACAGTACATTGTTAATAAGATAGTGAGTGTCCAAACAAATCAAATAAATGTATTGAAGGTGTTTGAAATACAAATAAAATTACGATGCCATGTCTACGAAACGATAACGTTTCAAAAGAGTGAATATTTATATTCCAAAACAAAATAAAACTATTTGAATAACCAAATCAAATAATACAAACAATAAACCTTTCACAGTAATATTTCATCATACACAGCTAATTCCTTGAATGCAACTGTAAGTAAGTTACGAGCAATTAAAGAAAACAAACATTTACCAGAATGTATTGAAATAATGAAATGTGCTTCGATTGACAAAACATGCGAAATGCACTTAATGAAAATGTAAAACAGTATGAAACATATTCCAACATCTAAAATATTTCAAATAAGTGGGATTTGTTTAAGTGTAGAAAATGTTCTATCTAGGGAACTCTGTCTTACCCTTATGCTGCAAAAAAGTTGAAACATGCAATGTTTTTATAATGTTTCTTATGTATACGATTCATGCTTTACAAAGAATATCTATTATACTAATGCTTTAAATATTCCTAATTTTGTCCCGCATATAATTACATAAAGCAGATTTTATACTCTTAAATCTTAAATGCAGCTAGTACATTACAATACGATTTTTTTTCGTGTCTCCATGAAATGCATGAGTAATGTATAGATAGTTATACACATAGAGATAAATGCATTCAAACATTCCTCAGAAGTTAATGAAACGTTTCAAGTAAAATTCAAACCAATGATTTCCAATCATAATTATTTGCTTTCAAAAACAAGTTTGTTTGTTTGGGGTTTAAGTCACACCGACACTGTCATATGCCGACGTTCCAGCATTACTATTGGAGGTAGACCTCAGGTGACCTTCCTTGCATTATTTCAGGCACGAACGGCCACCTGAGTAGAATCATATACGTTCCGTCAGCTATTTAGATAATTTCCTCACATGAAAGAATCCATAGTCCCTGTCGGAATTTGAGCCCATAGCGGTGATGAAGTCAACGACCTTAACCACTCGGCCACGGACGCCCCAAAAAACAAGCTTTTCATGAAACAGATAAAACCAATCGACACTTCCTTTAATTAGGATAAAATAGTATCCAATGTCAATCTACTGAACAGCAAATCGATTGAACATTGAAATAAGCATATTTAGGAGAGACATTGAGACATATCAAAACCTTCGTTACCTTCTCGTCTCCAGCATGGTCTCGGGATATAAGAACCAGATGGTGAAACGCGTAAACATATTCCAAGATGGCGACCTCTTTTCTCTGTTTTGTTTTCAATCATTGTGTCTTCTGATTCCAAAAGGACATTCGGATTCACTTTTCCCTCAGCAATGAGCTGAAAATAATCCAGAATTTAGTTATCAATACATATCATTGTCGTACTATTTAATCATAAAAGATTGCAGTAATTACTTCTAAACATTTTAATTGGTTCATAATTGTGTTCCTGTAATAACATTAATTTAGGTTACAAATAACGTCATATGTCTGCAATCTTACGAACATTGCCTGGTAACAGTCGCAGTTTGTTTGAAGACATTTGAGAAAATTTTAAGTACATACAAACCATCTTTTGTAACAGTTTTCAAATTTACCGAAGCCACATCTGAAACATGTTTTGAATTTGCAATTAAGGTTTCCTAAAATATATCCTTTCCTTGCGCTTCTTCAGACATCAATCGATTATCCTCAAAACATTTTCTCTATCTAATATTAAGGGTGCTTTAATAACCTAAAATCGTTTAAATCTTCTAAGGAAATCGCTTATTTTGTCCCAAAATGGTTTTTTTAACAAGTTCTTTAGATGTAAAGCTACCTCAAAGCAACAAATCAGTAGTCGGAGCTGGATATAAAGAAATTGTAGTTTTCCAGCGTTGAATATATTACCTAAACATAATAGCAAAAATATTATAAAAATAAATTTTAATTGCTTATGCTCATTACATTAGCCTTACAATAATTTCTTCTTTGGTTTAATAATCTTGCTGACACGAAGCTCCTTTTTGAAAAAAATAGAAATAACTACGTTTTACTGAAGTAAGGATATAATTAAAATTGCGAATGGCATTATCGATGTGTACGAAATATGATAATCATAACAAGCAAGCTATCTAAACGATATTAATACGATATTAATTGATACGATATTAATTAAAACAACAATACTTTGATTAGCACTGAGATGAAAATTGCTCAGTTTCAAGTTAATGTTCAAGATACATGAAATTTTTTAGAATTGTTTCTTTTACAGGAAAGTACAATGTACTACTTTTTGTATAATCTTCATTTGAAGTATTTTTTAAATGTAGCTTAAAAGAGTGGCAAGATCATTAAATTTTTGTAGTTGATTTATGTTAATATAATCAGTCTAAATAGACATGGGCGGCCGTTATCAAACTCCACTTATAAAATTGATAGCAAAAAAATAAAATTGATATCAAAATAATATAGATACAAACAGAATCCCTTAAGAAAGCCCAACACGGCAAAGTTGAAAATGTTGCAGGCTCGGTTTGATTGAGCCTGTCCATGAACGGTACTGGAAAGTGCAAGCTACCGTCAAAGCCCCCTAGCACCGGCTCAATCAGAAGTCAACATTAAAATATGTTAGCATTTAATTATGTTATTCTCTTTCAATATTATGAATGTTTAAATTTCAAAACTTTTCGCTTGAACCTTAATAATGACTCAGTCAACCCGACATGCTGTGAATTTTGTTAGTCTATGTTTACTTTACAATACTACAGACGGATCGATTTTTCAATTGTCATCCAACAGCAACTAGGTGCGTTGCTGTTGTTATTTTTTTCGAAAAGGTCATCAATTCAATGTCTTATAAGCTAACCTTCAGTCACTTTATTCACTTTAAATTAATCTAGTGACTCGTATTATTCTCAATTACTCGACTTAAAAGCTGACAATCTCATTTTATCAATTATAAATATTAATTGGAAATTTCCTTACTGACGCTATATTGCGTAAAAATTTCTTTTAAAGGATCAGGTAAATTTGATATTCCTCATATGCCACTCATTGTTGGTGGTGTCATGGGATTTGCAGATTTAATTGGTTCATCTTCACGCAACTTGTCTTGACCAATTAACCTAATGAATTTATTTATGAGAAGAGCGCGAAAATATTGCAAAAAAATCGTTTAAATATGGTACATGTGCTGCCAGTTCTGTTCATGCAATAAACCGACATTGCTATAACATTCCTCATAAATAGTTTCCATTCTCTCATGCACAGATGATATAAACACAAATCTTAGATTTATGCCAAGTAAAGCTTTAGAGGCGTGGAAGGTTGCTTTCGAATAGCACTACCGTCTATAAACAGCCTAAATAAACAAGAATCGGTTGAACCGGGTGTTGCTCCCCGAGAAGGTTTTAGACACAGGAAAGTATAAAAAATGACGAAAAGGCAAAAACTTCAAAATTAGGCAAGGCAGATTATGTTTTTTTGCACTGCAGTTCTATTCAACGAGATCTATCTATCTTTAAAGATTCGTGATGATATCTCTTACAGTTTCAGAGTTATGTCCCAGGTAAAATTCAAAGTGTAAAAATGAACAAAAGACAATAACTCCAAAATGAGACAAGGCTGTGTTTATGTGCTTTAGCATTGCAGTTCTATCCAACGTGATTTATCTACCTGTTATGCCCCGGACAAAAGTCAAAACTTAAAATAAACAAAGGACAATAACTTCAAAATAAGGCAATGTAGAGTTATGATTCTTTAGCACTGCACTTCTACCTAATGAAACCTATCTACCTACACAGTTTCATGTTGATATCTCTTATAATTTTAGAGTAATGTCCCGGACAAAGTTCAAAATGTCAAAATGAACAAAGGGCAATAACTCCAAAATTAGGGAAGAACGAGTTACGGTTCTTGTGCACTGCAAACTTACTCAATGAGATTTATCTATCTGCAAAGTTTCATGTTGATTACTCTTGTTGTGTCAAAATTATGTCCCGGACAAGAAAACCGGACAGACGGACAAGGCGGCGACTATATGCTCCCCCAAAATTTTTCAGGGAGCATAAGAACCGAGCCTGCAACATTTTCTATTTTACCGTTTTGTGTGCTCCGAAGGGTGTCGTTTTTCTTTTTTGTTACATTTTGCCTGTTAATTTCTTTTACATAATAACCTTTCTTTAAAGATTTAAACTAAAAGATCATTTAGTTAGTAGTCTATGGCCTTTGACATTTTGATTTCTTGTCTTCAAATAATTGTAAAGCAGTGGATTAGTATAGATTTAAAACACAAGAAGAAAATGGATAAAGTAAACAAGGTATGCGAGAAATATGCATTTACTTATAGACTGCTAAATGAGACGGTATAATTGTGGAGGTGTCCCCATGGAAAACATTTGCTTAATTTGGCTGAGCAGAATGATCGTGGAGGGAGGTAATGGTATGGTATGATAAAGAGCAAAATGATACTTCGTTAATTGGTACGCACTACAAAAACGTGAGCGGCATTTACCAATAACAACCTTGATATGAACTTATATAATTTATGTTACCAAGGAAGCACTTGTCTACAGTTTTTGGAATTTGACAGAGTACAAACAAAATATCAATACAATGCCAACAAAAACATTTGGTAATTCATATGACATTTAAACACAATCTCTTTAAAAATGTAACAGTTAAATATAGATATTTAAATTTATTTTGGTATCACAGTACATACAATGGTAACAAACATGCCGTATTTATACAAAAACAGAATACTTCAATAAAATACAAACATGAGAATTGACCAAGTTATGCAACGAAGTACCTAGGATAACACAAGAAAGCAATGGAACCCTTTTTTTAGCATTCTGATCCTTATAACTAGCGGCATGATATATACATGATCACTCATAGATATTTACAGATTCAAACAAGCACTAGAAAAAACTGATAATACTAAATCATACTTATCAAACAAAATCAAAATGAGAGAAGGTTAGTGACACAATGGCATCTAAATGTATTTAATAGAAATAATGCATCAATGTGTACATACCTCCTCCAACGCATACATCAACATATCCTTGAGGTCTCTTGTTTCCATGTATTTCGGTCTTTTATCCGCTGATAATGATGTCTACAATGACGAAAGTAAAATAAATGAAAAGTCCAAAGATCTATTAACAAGTTTCATAAAGCATCATTATGAACAATAACAACTATAAAGGCTTCAACACTAAGCCTCTCATTGATGGTATTTATAAATGCAAGCTACCGTTCACGACAACTCACTATAATTAGATGGTGTTTAATGTAGATTAAAACACGTGCAGACGTGTTCTTATGCGATAATATATCAAAGCGGGCATCATATCATAAGGGGAATGACATAGTATTCAATCAGGAATAAAGAGTAATCAAACCAATGAGAAATGTTAAAATTGATAGATTTTAAGATTCACATACATGAAAAATGAAGTGCCGAATCATCTGCAAGGACAGAAAACAATTCATATGTATTACCATATGTTTACGCGATGAGGCAAATTGTAGAAGATAAAATTAATGTATACGACAAAGTTTACGTGGGAATAAAAATGATTTCCTTTTTCTCTACCTTATGATATTAATTTTAAATATTTTATTGTACTTACCCCGTCATCTGCCGAAGATATCGGTATTGCTAAAGATTGTGTCACCACCATACATGCTACAAACACTGCCACCATTGTTGAAGTTTGAAGTTCCATTATCTAAAATAAAATGCAAATAAAAGATAATTTTTGATTTCGTTTCTCTCTATTTTCACATAAGTGCCAACTTGTAATAGAAAACTGATATCAGACCTTTATGTTTTGTCACATCTCATGATGTTGATTTTGATTGTCAATAACAACTTCTAAGGCACATCATACGCAAGATATTATATCAGCAAAATTATTTACGATCCCAATTTGGGATGTGATTGTGGGTAAATTGAATTATTAAATATGTTGAGGTTGGATTGGTTACGACGAAAACTGTATACTGTATTGATTGATGTTAGGTAGAAACATGACGCTTGATTGTTCGGAAAATGTCATCATAATAGGCAGAATAACTATATGTGTCATTACGCGAGATAATGCACCTTTTTTACTTTTTTGTTGTCGTTTTCTAAATAAAACACATTTGTTAATAAAAAAAAACGAAACAAAAGAAATAAAAGACAGTTTGTGCAGTATGTAGAAAGATTTTTTTTCGGATTATCTGTCACATTTAGAAGCTTTGTGACCACTAATATGAAAGAAATAACTAGAATAGAGAAAAATAAGAATCTTAAGAACATTCAAAAAGTTTTCAAGCTTGGTTTGATTATTTATTGTTAATCCTATTTGCTTCTTATTTGTTTGTTTTAAGGACTTGTCTGATTATGCAACTGTTTTTTCAAAACAAATGTAGTTACTTTTTTTCCAACACCTGCCTAAAAGTAACAATTTGTTACGAAATGTTAAATTATAGGATAAGCGGACATTTCTTTTTAACTGATTTTGCTTGTTTTTAATTTTCATTATTTTTTCTAAAAAGAACATAGAATCAGTTTGCCTTTTGCTTTTTTGAATATGGAAACAATACATTGTTTAAAATGATGTATACACAGTTACGTTGCCGTTTTATTTTGTGATTCATAGATCACATTTGAGTACTTACATCACACAACACAAGGAAATTGATGATATTTTGTTACAACATTTAATAAGGCAATTGTAGTTTACTCAATATCTAATTGCTTGTTCATTAGCAGTAAGAGTTGAGAACAATTATTATAAAAGAAAGTAATAAGTAATTCAGACATGCACATCCATTTATCATAATTTAAATAACAAATGAAAGCTTTAAATGCAAGCGGATACAAAAAAGATGATGAATTGATTCGAGTCAATGAGAAAATTTGCATGCGACCATATTATTAAAAAAATAGCAACGTCAAACATTACGTTTGGACAGATAATATTTGAAAGAAATTAATAAGCTATCACTATTTTAATAAATTGCTGTTAGATTTTTATTAAATGTGCTACATTGCTTTTGGGTTTATGATGTTAAGAGCTATTAAGAAGAACCTGAATTGTATTCATGAACATTTCTTTTACATTAAATATCAGATTTTGGTTTTTTATGGTCATTGGCAAAACTGACATTTTTTTTTTCAAGATTATTTTTGACCAGCGCAAAATTTCATGCTTTGGAAAATAAATTCAAATTGCTTCGCTAAGAATAAACATAGTGTTTATTCCTCGTATAGTAATTGATATTGATATACGTTTTAAAGTGAAATTTGTCAAATATATCTAAAATTATATTCCTTATTTGGTAATTCTCAACTTGTGTGAAGCATCTGGCTTAACGAATAACGACGCCAAAACCACTTTAGTCTATTTGTATAAATAAGCGGCATATTGTTGTTTGTACCTTAATGTTAGAAAATTGAAGGGATGTGTGTTGTCTTCTTTAAAGAGAGAACTTTGCATTTTACCATTTATCAGAATTCCCATGTCTGTCAGCACAGAGAATTGAATTCTTAAATTCTGTCTGAAGGATATTATAGCCAGTTGATGGAAGTTAAGAAAATATATATCAGATGTTGATTTTGAATTTGAATTGAATTGAGTTGCAAGGTTTTCATGTTGTTGTTTTTTGTTGTTTGTTTTTTTGTTGTTTTTTTGTTGTTTTTGTTGTTGTTGTTGTTGTTGTTTTGTGGGGGAGTTTGGGCATGGGCTTTATAAAGCTAGTATATTAAGTAGAATATTATATTCCTTTTAGTTTCACTATAATCATATTGATTGGCAACACATATAGTCGTTTTCAGACAGAAAACGTAAAAATTAAAATGTGTCCTGGGGAATAAAAGAAAACCTAAAAATTTTAAAATTGTATCCTGTGGTAAAAGTTAGAAAATGTGTCATGCGGAACAATAAAAAGGACACATGTTCTTTTCCTTGTCATGTTTTCAAAACACAAAGACATACAACCGTCCATTTAGATACAAAGAATAAGATTTAGGCAAAACAATTTATTGAGGTCATGATAAAGCGTAACATCTTTCTAAAGGATGGAGGGGAGTATGCAATGCTAAAAATTTTAATTCATGTTTTTAGAATATTACCATGTAATAAAAAAATATTTAAAAAAATCAAAGTAAATCAAAAGAATTATATCTGTTGTTTTTTTCTCATTTTACAAATAAAATACCATTAATGACGTTCACAAAGTCAGAAAAAATGATATAGATTGTGATTTTTGCCTCTGTAAAAGTCATATAACAAACATGTTTCTTTTGAAATGAATTTCTTCGTAACACTCACACTCATCATAATAATTACATTGGCCATACAAATCCTATACACAATATGCAGACATACAATATGTTTGCAATAAATTAGCCATTTTACGTCCAAGATAACATATTTGATACATTGTGAACTTATTTATTTATGCTGTTATAGCGTTCTAAAACCTTCAGACTATATGATAAAATTGGTTAAATGTCGACAACCAGACTAACCACAATAATTTAGGAAAAACTTTTACGATGTGGTTTGTGACTGAAATATACATCATATGATAAGCATAAGTTTGCGGTTAACGTTAGCCTTTGCCATCCGTGCATCTTTTGAAACACTTGTAAATAACCAATCGATTGCTCCCCCACCCCCGCCTAAATCTTCCTAAAATCAAACTTTACGATTTATTTGTGGTTAGAAATCGTTTGGCTTATACCAACATTTATCCAATTTCTTTATTTCAAGACATTTGATGGGCATCTTTTACTCGTACAAGTCAGTACGACACAGATAAACATGTGGAAAAAAGATGATCCCTCGGACGCACCTATCACAACAAAATAGAATAAAATTTCAAACTCGGTTTGATTGATTCTGTACATGAAGGACAATAAAAATGTGCAACAGCCCTCATGGATCCTAACAAAAAAAAAATGTTGTTCCTACTAACTTTCATTGTTCTTGTAGAAATTAATGAAGTTTTGCTAATCATACGTTTATAAAAGAACATAGTTCCAACGTATGTATAATGTCTTATTTGTTCAGCGTTCAATCACGGAGGAGGATTATATCTAATCAGTTTTATAGTGAAAGAAAGAAAAAATCTAGTGACATCAAATTAAGCAACATAAATCGCCGGTGTACAGTTAAACATGGACAATAACAAGTTAGTATTGGATACAAGTCAGTGATGTGATCATTGTTGACAATTTTTTTGATACATTAAGCTGTTTGATATGCTAATTAAACATCGTATAGAATGCTTGCTTAAACAAATAATGATGAGAGATTTGAAAGGAATTTTCAATCGGTGACATTTATACTTAACTTTATATTATTTAGTAAATAAGTATTAAGTAAATATTACAATGTAATAAACATTTATAGATATTTTACGGTATGAAGGGTCTGACCACGACTCTCTCATACATATTACGGGGCGAATAACCCAAGTATAATCCCAAAAAACAACAAAAACAAACACACAACAACAACAAGAAAAGTATTTGTATTACTAATGTATACAATCAAGTCGTTAATGGGTAAATAAACGTATGTTATTATTTGTCTTACATCTTAAAAACTAAGTTTAGAAAATGTTTCATTGTTTTCATGTCATTATACGTTTTGATCCGTTCTGCACCATCACACATATTACATATGCAAGAATCTGTCAATCAATTAAACGTGTTGTTAAACTACCCCTCTGCTAAAATATCGTTTGATTCGAAAACTAACTTTAGCTAAAGAAATAGGTGCATGAGGGCACCTGCTAGAAGGCCCGTTGCCTGTGGGCATAAGAGATGCAACTAGCAAGTTTAATCTAATCAACATTATAAGATAACAATGTAAATTGTAAAATAAAATGTAAAATATAATTCCTGAAATAAACCTTTTTGAAATATAGTAATATATAAAAACATTTTTCCTAGCATTTAGTCACTATAATTGGCATTGACTTATCATTCTTTTAAGCAAGGACTTTATTAATCAATTTATCATCCGCAAAAATTTCCCATTGTGTATTAAAATGTTGTCCGTGTAATTTACATCTAATGCTTTCCATGCATATGTATTTCCTGTTAGATAAGACAAACAATACAAAAATGCTTGCACAATAAACAGGTTTATAACAACAACTAAACAAATTGTTAATAGCTCTTAAAATAGGCTTCCTGTATTATATTGAGAATCATCCAATAAATAACTCTATGTATTGACACTTACAAAGCATCTTCCAATTAACAAACGTGGTCTTTTTATACCATTTAAATACAGAACTTTGACATATAGAACTTATTTTAAGGTAATGTCGATATGTGCATTGATAGTCAGACAGCAAAGAAAACATGTTGAATACATATATCAACGGTGTAAGAATTATACAAAGCATTTAGATATTATTGCATTATTTTGACAACGCATTATGCAATATCCTTTTCAGATATATGGCCAAATACATCCTGCGGTTTTTATATAATCTAAAAATGAAAAATGTTGTAAGGATTGGTTGATATTGATTAATTGATTGATTGACTGATTGATCGACTGATTGATAGATCGATAATTGATTTATTAATTGATTATAGCAAGGTATCATGGTATGATGGTACATCATAAAACTTCACAAATCGAAACAAGATGTAGGAATAAATAATTAAATAGCCATCAAACAACATCTTATGTAAAGGATAACATAATTTATGAAA